TAATATATTAAATGTTGTAACTGCGCCATGTAAATCGAGAAGGTACTTTTCACTTTGTTTGCCACCGCATGTATTAGTTCTGTAAATAAATTAGCGCAATGGCACTTTCAGCATCGTAAAATTTTGATATTTTTTTTCTCGCCGTGTCGTATACAACCGTCGAAGAAAAAAGTGCATATGCCTATAATCGATATCTTTATGGCTTCTAGTTTCGGCCATTTCGTTTTGCTATTATCATACTGATGCACAGTGGGAAAAGTCGTGCGCTATAAAATTATCATGAAGAAAACCGTTGAGCAAGACAAGGACATGCCGCATTTCTGCCCATGACTGTGATGGCAGATAACTGTCCTTGACGTGCAAGCGTTTTTCCAGAGACGACTCGTCCCAGCGATCTATGTATTGCTGAGATTTCGACTTGAATGCTACAAGTCATAAGATACGCGCTATAAATAATTGTTTACAACGCCAAAATAATATTGGAGCTAAGGGGTGGTGTGAAAAGTGGGCATATTTCGTTTCTTGATGTATTGTCGGCGGTCCCTCCTTCCCTTCTAAGAAGGGGACTTATTTCTCGCAGTCTGGCATATTCATTGCGAGTTGTAGTAAGCATCCGTTGCAGCGGAGAAAAGCTTATTATGCATTGTTTTTAAAAGTAACACTTCAAATTTACATGAGTGAAACGACGACGTTTGCGTTTTACCAGAAAAAATACATAGTATTACTATATAGTATATAATACAAGCAAAAATGTATTACATTAAAATTAATTCGCTCGGAATAACATACTAAACGCTTTCAGAGATTTAATTACTATTCAAAGAATATGACATAATTTGACGGTTTACTTTCAAATTTGAAAAACAATACATTTAAGTTAATTAACTTTTTCAAAAATCTGTCAATGAACTATATCAACCAATCGGAATTTTGCGTTGTGTGGACAACGCGTATTTCGTTTCTTGATGTATTGTCTGCAGTCCCACCTTCTCTTCTAAGGAGGGACCTCTTGCAGTGTATGAATATGCCTGTTTGCGTAATAACTCTGCCTGCGCTCAGTGCTCTGTAACGGATGATTGTCATAATTCGCATGCAATGAATTAGCTGCTATGTGCATAAATTATCATAATTTTTCCGCTGTGTCGGATGCTTAGTTTAAGTAGATAAATAAATCAAACCATTAGTTTGACGCATCATTCAAGTGCTGGCTTTCGAGAGGAGCAAGCTTCAATCTTCTCATCGTCTTACAGGTAAGTTTTATAACTTGCTGTTTTTCTGGGTGCCTCATGTTCAGTTGCAATAGACGTTCTATTCCCATGCTTGGCAACTTGAGTGTAACAGTTCTAGGGATAGGCAATTATTTTGTGCGGTCCATTAAAAATTACAAAATAATAGTTGAAGACGACCCTCGCCTCGATTTATGCTCTCATGGTAAAGCTATATAGGTTTTCTTTATGAAGTAGATAGACGCATTTTGCTTAGTCTTGGGTCTATGTAGAATACGGGTTAAATTCTTAAGCGTAAGCCTGAGATTTTTTCCTTGGAAAGCTAGTGGTAGTAATCCTCTCTCTTTCTCTGCAAACCTACTGGAGCGAACCATTGGTTCAGAAGGTTTAATAGTTAGAATTTTTATTAAAGATTTATGTGTAAATGCAATGTGAATTGCAGTGCAAACTGCGTGCGATCGAGGGAACATGAGCTCAAATTACTAGAATGTAAAACAAGGTATTGTGTCTGCGCACAAATATATTTTTGAAATCACTTCTTTTAAAAGAGGCAATCGGATCTATGTAAAATGTGCTTAATTCTGCATGTGCGACCAACACCCACTATCAAGTCGGGTAATACTCGAATAACGTCGAGCAAAACTCATGCATTAGCCTGCGTAGGCGCGTGGCAGATAAACATTTTCAACCTCGCAAGCCAACGTTCTTCACTTTCGCTTTCCCCTGCCATGATGTGTGTAATGTGTGAATCTGAAGGAGACAAAACGATCGCAAAAGCAGTAACGCACTATTCTTTTGGGATTGGTTTCTGACCCTGGAACGACACGTTCGCAACCGTTTTGACAAATCGTTAGAGTTTATATACAGTGTAACAATTTCGTTTGAAAATATGAATTTTAAACAGCCCGTATTTTATCCTATACTAGTGTGCCGTTGTGTATTGTAACTGCGCCATGCAAATCAATTGGGTACTTAAATTAAGCTTCGTATTTCTGTCTGTTTGCCACTGTATGTATTGGCGGTTCAGATTGGAGATATCTGTAATATTTACACGATCATACAATTATTCTTAAAGCCTAGCTTGCATATGTAAGAGTGGAGGCATGTTTTGACAGATGTCTACGCAAAAGAGAGACAATCACGCATTATCATGATCGAGTTGAAATTATAGTAATTTCAGGCCTTCAAAACAATTTTCATGAAAAATCCGGCGAGATTTTCAGTTCGAATCCGGCGAGATATTGGGAGAGGGGACAGGTGAGGTATAAGCAACGAGTCAAATCCAACTAATGGTAATTAATTCTAGAAAAACTTGTACAAACATTTCTATATTGTTGTGGAACTTGTGATTCCACCGTCTGGTTCATTCAATAAACGCTCAGGGACTGTATTTTATAATTGTATTGATTGTATTATGTGAGAAAGTATTCACAACGTGAGTTTTAGACTGTTAAACATTCCGACTGTCTCGCTACGATCTGACAGCAACAATGACATTAACCTAGTACCCAGGATCTAAGAAGGAGAGACCCTGGGAACGAGGTTGCAATGACATTCAATCACTTCCTAGCTATTTGATTACCCTGCCAAATTACAATGTGTTACTGTGACGTATCTATTGACACGTACAAAGACGCAATTACGATTTAGTTTGAATTACGTCAATCACAATATTGATATATTACATGAAGTATATTACAGTTGAATGAATTGGCGGTGCTGTGCTGGGAACCTACGACACCCCACCCACCTTGCAGCAGCCCGTCTCGCCTGCAACCTTTACTTTGGCCCCTCGGACCTCCTTGTCCTTACCTACAATTAACTCTTCTACAACTACTAACTTCCAACTACATCTCTTTCCTCCTCCATACACTGTCACTACGTCTCCCTTCTTTACTTCTCTCAATCTACCTCCGTTTTTAGTGTGAAGTTTACTTCACAGTATTGTGATGACTGGCGGGAAATTCACACGAATCAGTCAGTCAGTCATTCATTCAGTCAGTCATTCATTCAGTCATACAGTAAACTTTCCGGGGGGTGTATACGATTTATGTTCGTAGTGATTTATTGTGCTTTGTCAGTACTTTGAAGGTTATTTAAGCAATTTCAGTTAACTTATTTACATATTCTGTTATCCTTTTGCCAAGTTCACAAAAATTTCGAGGAATTGCTTTTGTTATTGTAATTTTTTGTAAATTTTAGAACATTCGCTTCTCATGTACCCTGGTTGCCAGAGGTTCTGTATCTTTCGCCTTATTCCCGCTCGTATTTATTTTACGCGAGGCGAAGAGAACCTCTGGTGGCACGCGATACAAATCTCTCTTCCATGCTGACGTTGCCGTTTGAGAACTTGCAAAACCGGTTTTATATTTTGTGCCGTTTTTAAACTTCCGGGTTTGTCATACTACCAAAATAGCTCTCTTCAGACCTTGTGTAAACTGATATTAAAAATAAGCAGCCCAAACATGCAGATTATTTGTTAGAAATATGTAGTAATGTAGTTTATTCTCACAAAAGCAACCTTACTGATTGTTAAATTTGTGGAATGCCGTTTGTATTAGCGAACGTATAAAGCCAAAAGTGAAAGAATATAAACATATAAATATTTGTATATATGTGCAACGGAGCCAGTATGTACGTTTCCTTAACAGACAACGGGAAAATATTGGCAAAATAAATCATATTAATAACTATTAAAGTCGAAGAATTACCAAAATTTAAAACTTTGAACGATATAAAGCAAGTGACCAACACTTTATATTTTACAAATATTAATACTGTAATAGAGTGAACATGTCATGCCGTCAACTCAAGTGACGCGATGGCAGCTCTTCTCCAGCGCAGAAAATCTTTTTTATAGCGGAACAAACTAAGTTAATCTAAAATAACCCACACCAAGTAAAGCATTTTAATACGTTCGTATTATTTCTGTATTTTGTTTACATCATGTTCTCTGAGATTTATAAACAGGTTTTTTTGTGTAGCCAATCACATCACTTCATGTGACTGCTAATTATAACTAACCAATCATGTGCTTGGTACAAATTTTGTACCAAAGGAAGAGAGATTTGTATCGCGTGCCACCAGAGGTTCTCTTCGCCTCGCGTAAAATAAATACGAGCGGGAATAAGGCGAAAGGTACAGAACCTCTGGCAACCAGGGTACTTCTCATGTTGTGTAAAGGATCTTTACCCCGGAACACCCGATTTTTCTTTAGTAGCGAAAATGCGCATGCGCTATCAAGCCGTAGATCACGATGGCGTGACGATATGCTAGGAAGGAGTGACAGAGGTTGTTTACCATTTACATGGAAATTCCCGTGATTCCATACGGAAAATAAATGGAACAAGTATATTTCGACGGCCCAATCGGAACTTTTCCGGAATGAACGGTTTGTTTGAAAAGGTTGTCCTCTCTTACCGATTGGAACGTTTCAACCGGTAAATGTTGTTCCATTTACACCTTTTTTATTTTTTCACCAGTTCCAGGCTCCTCTCGATTTAACAATTGAAATTATTAAATGGAAAGCACATAATCCGAATGGGATTTTCTATCCGAAATTCGAATTTTCACTTCTGGTGTTGGATTTTCATTTATTTGCACAAATAAAACTTCGATATAGAACCGTTAAGAGGTCTATTATTAAACGTTGCCTTTTCAAGTTAACACATGCAAGATCAGTTTCGTATTACCCCTGTTTCACCGTGCTGATTTTAATTTGTTTCCTTCAAATTGTCACAAATAAGTAAAAATAAACAAGCTAGCGACTACAAATTACTGAGCAGGCGATCGTTTCCAAGAAATAGCGTAAATGATGGTGTCCACGAGAAACAGGATTGTTCCGATGAAACCGCATGCCTGGAAAGACAAATTTTCATAATTTAGAGAAGAAGTTTGCCAGAGGATTATAAATAGATTTGGAATTGTGAAAAAGATAAATGAAAGATATTTTGTACAATATTAATTCAGATTGACACATGCACATTTTCTTATTTACAATTACGCTGGTTACCCAAGAAACCATTTGTTAAATTCTTTACCCCCTCATAAGTAATAAACAATCCTTACCACTCCACCGATCAATTCACTGCATTGATAATCTTTATCTGCCTTATCGAAAAAATCACAATAGGATTGCTTGTTTCCAGACCCTATATCTCGTTCTTTTTCGTATGTGGCCAACACTTTAGCGAGCAGAGCTGTTGAGACCAGCAACTGCAGGGTCCAAAGTACATGTACTATGACCATCTGAAAGGAATAAAATGTGAAATCAAGATATCGTGTAAATTCTATTGAATATTTATCATATTTTGCAGGCATTAAATAACAGAGATGCAACACACAATACATGGCATACCCCAGGGCATAGAGCGAGAACTAATGTACATAATATTTCTGCTAATTATGCATGCCAAAATAAAACTGCTCGATCTGCAGCTGATATGAATGCTCAAGAACCGGACATAATAACGCCAAATAGATTCGGTCTCCTGTCCACAGAACATGACTCACATAAAGAATCAGAATCTAATGACGAAATTGACCCGAATGAGTCTAGCACTTCGACTATTAGACAAAGTAGGTCAAGTAATTTAAACATGGATTCGAACAAACACGATAGAAAACAAAGGAGAAAAGAAAGTCAATCAACCCAAACTTCTATTGAATTTTCCAAGGGCAAGGCCAAAACCAACAATAGAAAGCATACAACAAATGCAAATTCAAGCGATTTATTTCAAACAGGCTCAAAGAATAATAAGTCTGGCAAACTTGTTTTCATCGCCGGGGACTCAATTCTACAACATGTTCACGGCTGGGACTTGTCTAACGATAAACAACGTGTATCTGTAAAGTCCTTTTCAGGGAGTAAAGCTGAAGATATGCAAGATTACATAAAACCATTACTACGCAAAAAGCCCGACGAGATAATATTGCATGTAGGCACTAACAATATTAAAGATAACTCCAAGACGGCAGAAGTAGTTGCTGCGGGTATCTTAAACCTCGGAACCCAAATAAAGGATAGTCTACCATGCACTAACGTATGTATATCGGGCATTATTACCAGGAAAGATAAAGCTAATATCCAGAACAAAATTAAAACTGTAAATGACATTCTTAAACGGGTCTCTGACCAAAACAAATGGACATATATAGACAACACTAATTTAGATTATACTTGCCTAAATAGAGGTGGCCTACATTTAAATAGAAAGGGTAGTAGCACTCTTACTAGAAATTATAGTAATCACTTTAGTCGTAATTAAAATAAGGCATGGCCAGGTGCTGTAAGGTATGCTCAATTTAACCCATATTTCCCTGATTTCAAGGGTTTCAAAATGGGTATGCTTAATATAACCAGTTTACCTAAGCATATTGACGAAATTAGGATAATATTAGCCGATGAATGTCTCGATATTCTTGCATTAAATGAGACAAGATTGGATGATACTGTTAATAACCAGGATATGTATATAAGTAATTATGATCTTATTAGGATCGATCGTTCTAGAATAGGGGGGAGGCGTCTGTTTATATGTGAAAACTTCCCTTAACTACTTAGAACGAAAAGATCTGACTAGAGATAATCTCGAAGCTATATGTGTTGAGATTCGCAAACCTTCCACTGCACCATTTATTGTCTGTACTATTTACAGACCTCCAAGTGCTTCTGTTGACTCTTTTGCCACAATTGAGCGATTAGTAAAAACAATAGATGATGAAAATAAGGAATTTTACATACTTGGTGACTTAAATGCTAACATGCTTGACACCTCAAACAATGCCACAAAGAATTTAAATTCAATCATGGAATTATATCAATTATCGCAAACGATAAACACACCCACCCGTGTGACCACGACCTCATCCTCCCTAATAGACGTTTGTCTTACTCCCACTCCAACTAAGTTAATAACATCACAAGTAATACCGATTGCCATTAGTGATCATTATATGATCTTCGTTGTTCGTAAAATAAATATCCAGCGCAAACAGAACAGTCACAAGAAAGTTGAAATTCGTAATTTAAAATATTTCAATGCTGAGAGTTTTCAAGCTGACCTGCGTGGTCAGGAATGGGAATTATTAGATAACAATCTCTGCGTTGATAAGATGTGGGACACATGGAAAACACTTTTCGTACAAGTTCTTGATAGGCATGCCCCAATCAGGGAAAAGAGAGTTAAAAGTAAACCAAATGTTCCTTGGCTCACTAGTACAATTAAAAAACAAATCCACGAACGCGATCGCCTTAAATCTCTTGCTATTAGACATAAATCCGAAAATTACTGGAACGCATACAAAACCTCTAGAAATCGCGTAACTGATGCATTGCGAGAACCAAAAGCAGCATATTATAAAGGAGAATTTAAGAAGTCAAACATGATTCCAAACAAGCATGGAAAACTGTGAATAAAATCCTAAACCGTAAACAAGGAAGTAGAGAAATAAATTGTCTTGAAACACAGAGAGGACAAATTTCACATCCAACGGAGTTAGCGGAGTGTTTTAATAATTATTTCACCAATATTGGTCCAGATATTGCCAAAAATATCGACAATGGTGACAGAAATTTCAAGGATTACATCACGACAACAACTAGTAGCTTTAATTTTCAAACAGTGTCTGAGTCGAATGTATACAGACTTCTGTTATCTCTAAATCCTCGTAAATCTACTGGAATTGACAAAATCCCTGCTAAAATTATTCGCATTGCTGCTCCTGTAATTACAAACTCATTGACAAAAATTTTCAATATGGCCATTATAAGTTCAACTGTTCCTTTTGAGTGGAAAATAGCAAGAGTCACTCCCATATTTAAAAACGGCCCACGAAACTTATTAAACAACTATCGCCCCATTTCTATCCTCCCTGTAGTAAGTAAACTTTTTGAAAAAGTATTATACGAACAACTCCATGAGTATCTTGTTACACAGGAGTTGTTGTCCCCTCGTCAATTTGGTTTCAGGAAGTTTCATTCTACAGCCTCTGCTCTTTTAGATAGTACAAATGAATGGTTTATTAATATGGACCGTGGTTTGTTTAATATAGCTGTTTTTCTGGACTTACAAAAGGCGTTCGACACCATAAATCATGACATCCTCTTAACGAAACTTGATCTTTATGGCCTACAGAAGCCATCATTAAACCTTTTAGGATCCTATTTAGCGAGTAGAACCCAGATGTGTTACGTTAATGGCGCTCTGTCAGGCACGAAGTTGGTTACATGTGGAATCCCTCAAGGTTCAATTCTTGGCCCACTCTTATTCTTGATCTACATTAATGATCTGCCTAACAGTTTGGAGTACTCGTCGACAAGAATGTTTGCCGACGATACGACTCTAACTGTATCTGGCAAGTCAATCCAAGATGTAGAGGTGGCCATAAATCATGACCTTACCAATGTTAAACAATGGCTTACTGCAAATAGATTATCTCTTAATCTAGTCAAAACTGAGTATCTACTAATAGGATCTCGGTACAACATAAATAATTTACTTGCTGCTCCAAATGTATTTGTTCGTGATACACCAATTAAAAAGGTCAAAGAAACAAAAGCGCTTGGAGTTCATATTGACGAATTCCTATTGTGGGATAAGCATATTGATAAAATTGCTAAGAAGAATTCATCCGGAATTGGGGCGATCAGAAAGCTAAAATCTTGTGTGGATCATAATACATTAATTTGTGCTTATAATGCACTTATACTTCCACACCTAGATTATTGTTGCGAAGTTTGGGACACCATTGGTGCCACACTTTCTGATCGACTCGAGAAACTACAAAATAGGGCAGCTAGAGTTATTACTGGCCGTAAAAACGAACACGGTCAATCTGAGCTTGCTCTAGACGAACTGAAATGGAAACCTTTAAGTGAACGCAGAACACATTTCGTAGCAAGTCTTATGTATAAAATAACTCACGAACTGGCGCCAAAACGACTAACCAATATTTTTCAAAGGACGTCTTCCTCTTGTTACTATAATATGCGAGGCTCTTCCACCAAACTCTTTTTGCCCAAACCTAAGACTGAATATCTTAAAAAAAGTCTTAGTTATAGAGAAGCGAAATTGTGGAACAGCCTTTCTGATGAAGCAAGAAACAAACACACTCTTGCTTCGTTTAATTCATGTATACGACACCTGGCCAATTAATTAATAAAATAATTACGTTAATTTAAAATATTGAACAGTACTAGCATTAATTTAATTTGTAAATAATTATATACTAGTTGTATTTGTAAATGTATTGTAATTGTTGTTAACTGTAATGTAATGTAATGTATGACCATAATTTGTATCAATTGTATTTTTTAACTATTTAAATCTACGCCCCCCTTGGAAATCGGCCTTTGCTGTAGGGGTTAGCGTAGTTAAATAAAGTTTTACCTACCTAGCTACCTGCATCATTAGTTTTATTAAAGGGGCTGTGTCACGGTTCTACTGCGCATCCAAAATATGCGCGAACTTGAAAACTGTCTGCCAACAATTAATCAAGTTAAGAGTGAAATACGATATACTATTTATAAACCCTTCGTTATGCAGGACATCCTTGCTTTGTTTTAAAAATTGAATGCTGCTGCATCTTTTCCAATCATGTAGCATTAATTTTAAACGTTTCTTGCGCCGTGACACTGCCCCTTTAACAGTACTTTGTTAACGTTACTTCGTTATCTTCGTTAACTGTTTCAACAAGTAATAGCTGCAAACCGGGGTCGCAATCGGCAGAGAAGATTCTCGCATTGAAGATTCTCGCAGCTTCCTTTGCAATTGAGCTTAGCAGTCAGAGTGACTTTAACTGAGACATGTTTTGTGCATTAAGACAACTGAATACACTTATCAACATTTTTATGAGCGTTACGCCACTGTGTGGGGAATTACGCACCACGGGGGGAGAAGAACAGAAAAAAATCATAGAAGCAAAAAATTCTGTAAAAAAATACGCATACAGCAGAACATGGCAGAAAAATTGACCATCCGTGAAAAATATGCATGTGCACCATGCACGCGAATCGTTAAAAGACGTAGTACTACAGTGTGGTGGCGTGGAGCATGCGCAGAAAAAGTGCAACACAAGCGCGAAGGCAAATACATAGAGAATAATACATGGGTGCGCGGAAATACCAGATTTATTTCGAGTGTTGAACATGATATATCTCACGAGTGAGCGCAGCGAACGAGTGAGATATCATGTTCAACACGAGAAATAAATCTGGTATTTCCAAGCACCCATGTATTTTTCTGTTTATTATATAAACAAAATTCAGTGAAAAACAATAAAACGTCCGTGGCAAAGCGTTTTACAACAAATGATATTTTCACACGTAAAAATATCGTATTTTTTACGTGTGTTTAAATACGATTTTTCTCAGTGGCCAAAAACTCTATATAACACTTATGTTTATATAATAAAATAGAATAGCAACTGGTTCAATGGCACCATCTTGACTTGACAGTGGACCATTTGCATTATAGACTAAATTTTAATCTAAACAAGTCTAGACAAAAATGTCATCACAGCTTGAAAGAGCATCACAAATTAGTAATATTCCAAAGTTTGCGAAATGTTGTAAAATGCGGATATTATAGCCTTCCAAAGTTTGGCGTTTTTCAGTCATTTTGCATTGCGCGAAGGAAATTGACAGCCCCATGCCCTTTGGGGCTGTCAATATCCGGTTTGTAATACAAAATAACTGAAAAACGGCAAACTTTGCAAGGCTATATTATCTGCATTTTACAACATTTCGCAACGAAACTTTGGAATATTACAAACTTTGTGATGCACTTTCAAGCTGTGATTTTTGTCCAGACTTGTTTAGATCAAAATTTAGTTTATAATGCAAATGGCCCATTACGAACTTAATTTCTTACTTTAGATATACGTGGAGCCCATTGTGATTAACGTTTGGGAACCGAAATCCATGCATAGTAGGAACTTCTCCTTCCGCTCCCTTAACAGTTTCTTATGGTCAGTTGCTGATTAAAATAAAACTTGCTAAAAGTCTCTGAAGCATTTAACAGAACTTACAGCCAATGTTCCACCCTTTTTCTCCAGTAACCCAGTGATTAATGCCACAAGCGAAAGAATTGCCATAATCACTCCAAGAGATGTAGTGTATAAGAAAAATTCATATCTGCCAAAAGTACCCTTGTCATAGGGATTAATCTCATTATCGTTTTTCGGCTTTTTATCATCATATAGCTCTTTCATGAAGTAACCAGCAACACCAGTTCCTGCCAAAAGTACGACCTACAAAAAAGGGGAAATGATATTTTTGGAGCATATATGAAGCGAAGCATGGCTTGTTTTGAGGAAATTCAGTTATCACTGTACAACGCGAGGAGCCAGCGAATACTATACTCAGAAGTTACACTCATATGTTCCTCCCAAGCACGATACAGGATAATCTCGCCGTAATAAAAATCAATAATCTTGTAATTCCAATCTACTTAGCCGTGAGTAAAACGCATAACGGGAAAACTAAAAAGCTAGAAGTTACTATCGCAAGGAAAGTGCTGCCTCTTCCCCAAGGAATCAAAAGAGACATGAGTAATTTGCTTAATAAGGGGCTGTTTATATATGATCCCGCTTTGCCAGGACGAGATAAGAGGCGGGATAATTTCAATGTATTGAAATAAGTCATGATGCACAATTCAGCATTTTTTAGAGATAGGTTTTTGTCCCACAGATCGGAATTTTGATTAAATTACGTATTGCCTGAAAAAACTAAACACGCGCATAAGCTGTAAACGAATTGTTTAAGCAGCAAAAATAATCCTCTTGAACTACCGGTACAAGATCTTCTCTACAACGTTTTAGTTCTGTTTAGCCTAGTGACTTATTTCAATACATCAAAATTATCCCACCTTCCATCATGTAATTAAACAGCCCCCTAAGACGCCTGTTCAAAAGGTAGGAAAAGTGCAATCTGAATGTCAATCACCTTGCACAAAGTTGAAGGATAGATAAATATTTTAATTATACTTCCTTGGCATGGACGATTTCACATAAATATCTTCAATGCTTATAACGTTTGCTTTTGTATATATAATTATGATATTGTCAGTGGTGAAGCTCAATTTAGCTAGCCATAGCAACGGGTCGTGCCATGTAAGTTTTTAATGATTTGCATTGCAGGTTAAGATTAGCATAGCGTGACCAGTTGCCATGGATAGCTAGTTTGCCACTGCATGAATACTGTACAACATCATCATACATATAAACAATAATGATGCTTGAATGAATCATTGGACAGGCCGAATTTAATAACAATTTCATGTATAGAAATACTGACTCAGTTTTTGTCCCCATTATCATTTTAATGGCACCTTCAAGGATACTATCGCAGAACAACTAAAAATTCTGCTGATGGTGAGACAAAATATATTTGTTGACATTTTTGTTTAATACGTCCGCTTCAAAGTTCAGATAACACCATTCATTTCATATGACACAATTTATTTCGGATGACACCATTCATTTGGAATGATTAAGATTGTACTCTGTCAGAACTGCAAAACTATATAGGCCTAGTACGAAAGAAATTGTGAGCATTATTGAAAACTATAGAATATCCTGAAATGTTGGGACACAGTCAGATGGTTATATATTAGAAGGCCTGTGACCCGGTAGGATTATTTCATATCATGCTAACAGTGGACATATCTGAGAGATATAAACAGACCATCATACCTTGTACAAAAGTTGGTCGACGTACTACGTAATAGCAATTGATTGTGATTAGCCATTAGGCCTTCAAAAAACGTATCCCGGTTTAGCAGCAGAAGATACCCGTGGGGGCGGGCAGATCTTTTTTTACTTTTTACCGAATCATATTTAGTATATAGGTGTATGGAAAAAATATGCTCAAACACGCAACGCAGTTGTAGGGTATTCTGAACATTTTAAATGCCAAAACTTGCCAAGGTCCACTTGCCAAGGTCCATCTGGGGGATCTCAGAGGCGTAGCCCGGATTTCTGGTCAAGGGAGGGGGGCAGCAAAATCCCAGGTGGGGCCAAAAAATTTTCCGGACCACAACATTTTAAATTCCCCCCTCCCCCCCTCGAAAATTTTTTTGGTAAACATTTTTCCCGACAAAAACATTATAATTGCTTTCGTAGCTGATAAACAAACAATCGAAAACTTCCCATGTAGGTCACATTAAAGATGAAAATAACGAAGTACAGGACAAGGATATCCCAAATGCCTTTAACAAACATTTCATAGCCGGAAGTTGGCCAGCGACTGTCTCGGAATATTCCTATAACCGATAAACAACCTGAGGCATACATTAACGTTTGAAATGCTCGTTTCCATTTCCAAGAGGTATCCCAATAAGAAATACTCAATCTCTTATCGGATATTGCCACAAATAAGGCAACAGGTCCAGATAAAATATCTTCCACACGACTGGAAAATCTCCAAAGTCACGCCAATTTACAAAAATGGACCCAAACATACATGAATAATTATAGACCAATATCACAGTGATCTCAACTATTGCTAAAGTTATGGAAAAGGTTGCTCATAACCAACTCTATTTATATTTACAAGATGAGAACCTATTATCTACCTTCCAACATAGTTTCAGACCTGGTCATTCCACTGTAACTGCTTTACTAGAAATCACTGACAGGCTACATCATAATATTGATATTGGTGAGCTGAATGGAGTCGTCTCTCCCAGGGCGTAGTAAAACACGGGCGGTGAAACGCGCTAATATTTGCCTGATCCATGTGTGATGCACGGGAGACTGGCGCGAGCGTGCGAAATGTGCGGATCAAGCGGGATTTTTAAAGATGCAGCGAAGCAAAAACAAGAGACAAAAATATTTAAAGGGCAATCAAAAAGTGCAAATTTTTAAGGTAAATTTATCCTTAAAATGGAAAAAAATTAACTTGTTATAAAATAGAGACTCTGGCAATTAATTAGTATTGCAAATTACATCGCTGGAGTTGGAAAAGCATTTTTAAAATGTGAAATTATTTGAAGGCATAGCGATTTTATCATAAAATATATTTACATTTTTCAGCCAATGACAAATTGTAGTCGAGTTTTTTAGCCAGACCGAGTGGGAAAAAAGTTAACTTCAACCCTTTAAATTATCTATAATTAGTTATACTTTCGATCTGAAAAGGTTAGAAAATGGGCTTTTGTGGGGTTTTTTTTTCAATTTAAAGATTTATGACCAGGTTACTTGCGTAATTTACAATGACACAACTTGTGACCTTGTTTTGATAAAGTTAGAAAACAATTGTCAATTTAGAAAGCATTGGAAACAATTTCATTAACATATTCAGGCATTCAAATGCAATATAAAAGTTAGGGAAAATATTCAATTATAAGGAACAAGCAGAAAATTCCGTTTTTACCATGTTAAAGGTTGTTTTATTTCTCTTTTCGAACTTACAATATGCAACTGAAATGTCCGCCAAAAGACTCCAAATTGCATGTTCACAGCGATGTCGCAGTTTTACAAGCGCGGAAAATTTTTGACCTTTAAATATTTCATGCACAGTATATGAAAACTAGCTTTATTTTTGATGTTTTTGGATAATTTAAGTACCTAATTTTCTAAAAATCACCAAATGATAATGGGCTTTTTAAATTTTTAAACATTTTTTTGGCTTATTTTTGACATGTGCATGCCAAGTCTACACAATGCCATATCGAATGCAAGCAAGCGATGTAGTTTGTTGTCGCAGTTTTACAAGCGCGGAAACTTTTTAACTTTTAAATATTTCATGCACAATATATGAAAACTAGCTTTATTTTGATGTTTTTGGATAATTTAAGTACGTAATTTTCTGAAAATCATCAAATGAGAATGGGCTTTTTTGTTTAAACATACTTTTTTCCAGCTTTTTTCATAGGGTGTCAGATTTCAAAAACGCAAAGTCGAAGGCAATGCTATTCCATGTGTAGATTTCGGCATGGACATGTCAAACTGAATCAGGGCAAAAATGTTTAAAAATTAAAAAAGCCCATTTTCATTTGGTGATTTTCAGAAAATTACATACTTAAATTATACAAAAACATCAAAATAAAAATAGGTTTCATATATTGTGCATGAAATATTTAATAGTTAAAAATTTTCCGCGCTTGTAAAACTGCGACAACAAACTATCGCTTGCTTGTATTTCATGTGTAGATTTGGCATGCACATGTCAAAAATAAGGCCAAAAAAATGTTTAAAAATTAAAAAAGCCCATTCTCATTTGGTGATTTTCAGAAAACTAGGTACTTAAATTATACAAAACATCAAAATAAAACTAGTTTTCATATATTGTGCATGAAATATTTAAAAGTTAAAAATTTTCCGCGCTTTTAAAACTGCGACAACAAACTATCGCTTGCTTGTATTTCATGTGTAGATTTGGCATGCACATGTCAAAAACAAGGCCAAAAAAATGTTTAAAAATTTAAAAAGCCCATTCTCATTTGGTGATTTTCAGAAAACTAGGTACTTAAGTTATAGAAAAACATCAAAATAAAACTAGTTTTCATATGTTGTGCATGAAATATTTAAAAGTTAAGAATTTTCCGCGCTTGTAAAACTGCGACAACAAACTATCGCTTGAAAAAAAGAACTTGCTGTTTTTATCAATTTATGGCGCTTCATCTGGTGGAACTTGACAAAAATACATGTGATTCAACATACCTGATTTCCAAACACGCATTCCAGTTGCAGGTTTTACAACAACAGCCGTTTAAAAAACTTTTTCTTCGTCTTTTTTTTCATCTTATAAACGAACGAAGTTGTTTTGCAAAAACAATCGATCCTCGTGAGTGAGATCCCAGACTTATATCTTACACTACAACATTCCCCATATAATCAGCCGTGATTAAGAATCCGGAAAAAAGATTTTGTCTATAGTAATAGCACAGATCCCAAATCCATTGTGAATTCAGCTTGAATTGTACCTTTTTACGTAGTAATTTTAAAAAGAAGTCAAAACATGCCTGATCAAACCACATCGAATTCGAATAAAAATGAAAATATGCGGGGGGACCTGCATCACACATAGATCAGGGGCGCCATAGCCGTTTCACCGCCCGTGTTTTACAGCGCCCTGTCTCTCCTGATCTCAAGAAGGCGTTCGACACAGTTAATCACCAAATACTATTAAATTATGGTGTCCCATGTCCGCCAAAAATCAACTTTTGCATTTCACCATATCATATTTTGAGGATCATATTCATTTTATTAAAATAACAACATTGTTTTTGAAGATCACCAGTTTATCGGTTGAAAACACAACTTATTTTTTGAAGACCAACTTTTGATTTTGAAAACACAACTTATTTTGTGAAGACCAACTTTTGATTTTGAAAACACAACTTATTTTATGAAGACCAACTTTTGATACCCAACCGCAATCCAATGTCTTTGTTGTTCGCGGGCTCAGTCATATTTTCAAAATGGAGGAAGAAGACAAACAATACTTGCTACAGGCAATTTTTGATGTGATAAATTCCATCGACCGTTTTTCACAGTCTCGAGACACTAATGTAGACTACCAAGAGCTTATGCTGAAACTTGATTTTTTACAACGGTTACTAGTAAATATGAATCTTGATGATTCGATATGTGCAAACGTTGGAGAGGCATATAATATTCTCTTCAATATGGAACAAATGGAACACCAATCCAGACAAGAACTCCAAACGCGAAGTGAAGAAAATAATGCTGCTAGACAAGTTTCTCGAGCAAGTCGTGGCCGACCCTCGTACGATATAAAAGAAGAACAATTATCGTTTCTTCTTGAAAAGGGGTTCAAGGTTTCCGAAATCAGCAAAATAATCGGGGTCAGTAAACGGACAATTGAGAGAAGAATGGCGTTTTTTGGACACTCTGTATCATGTACTTCGTGCTATTCACGATCAAAGGCTAGAGTATAGAATCAGGGCCGTTCAGGGGGGGGGGGGCAAAGGGGGCAATTTGCCTC